TTATTTTCAATTTTCAAAATAAAAATAAGTATAGTTTCATATTTATTATTATTTTTAATTGCAGCATGGCTTCTATACTATGATAGAATTTAATACAATCCCAAAAAGGGAGAAGATTGCTCAACGGAAAGGGGGCAGACAGCAACTTTTTTGTCAGGTAAATACAAGGCTTTTGGGAACTTATGAGAGTTCACAAAAGTGGTAACAGAAAAGGCATTATATGAAAACAATGCTACCAAATCAGCAGCTGTCAAGGATGGTGACACAAGGACAAACAGTGGAACTGAAAAGGATGTCTTCTTAATAACAAAAGCACTTATATTTCTATTTAGGCTGATAAGGATGTGGCTCAATGGGTAAGAGCACTAACTGAACAGGAAGGATAATCAGAGTTCAGATCCCAGCACTCACATAACACATGCTGAGTGGGGCTGATGGGCCTGCATCATCAGTGCAGACACAGAAAGCCTGCTGATGCTTGCTGCTACCAGCCTCAACAAAACAGTCTGTTCAGGTTCAGGGAGGGACCCTATCTCAAAGGAGTGAGACAGAAAACAATAGAGGATCCTGACATCTCCCTCTGCAGTTATACTGGCACAGGGACACATACACTGACATACATGTGTACACACAAGCACCACATATTTAAAAAGATAGTTACACTTGTTCTAGTTACATTCTGTTACTGTCCCAAAGAAAGCACTTGGCCAGGAAAGGGTTGATTTGGCTCACATGTCCCATGTGCACTCCATCACTGATGGAAGTCAGGGCAGGCAGGAGCTCAAGCAGGAGCAGAGGCAGGAACCTCGGAGGAAGGCTGCCTGCTGGAGTGCTTCCAGGCTCATGTTTATCTGCTTTCTTATCCAACCCAGGACCTTCTGACCATGAATAGCCCTACCCATAGTGGGATAGGCCCAACTTCATCCATTAGCAACCAAGAAAGTACCCCTACAAACACGCCCATAGTCTATCTAATGGACACAATCTTGAACTGGGGGCTTCTCTTCCCAGGTGTTTCTAGTTTGTATTGAGTTGACAAACAGTACCAAGCACAGTCAGTTAGCTCAGCTCTGTGGCAAACAGCTAGACATGTGGTTATGTGGTTATATTGAAAAGAACAATACAAAATAAACTCTGAAAGCTATTTTTAATAGTGAGTCTATAAGCAATGTAAAATAAAATTTCATATTTGGTATGTTATATGGAGTGAGGAATATTTATTACTGAATTCATTCTGTTTCATCCAGATTATTCCCAAGTGAATTGAAGAAACTCAAAAAAAAATCTATCCAGAGAAGTTTGAAGACCAGAACCACTAATTGTAAATTCTACTCTTTGAGGATTGGTGGTCGTGCTAACGCTAAATAGAGCCCAGTCTACCATGTTGATTACAGGTAGTGATGCTGGAGGTAACTTGACTGAAGAAATGGCTTCTTTAGTGCCATTGAGACACTAGATAAGGATATTTGTAGGGGGGTAGTGGAAGAATATATGGATGTGGTGTCTTTCGTCCATAATCAACCTTACTAGTACAACTTCTGCTGATGCCCAGAGATGGGAGGTCACATACACAGACCCAGGCTGGCCGTGGTGGAGAAAGCCTTTAATCCAGCGCTGGGGAGATTACAGTACAACTACTACACTAAAAGCATGTTTATTGGTGTGTCCTTGCAGAGGTCATCAAGAAAATTTATGCGCAGAGAAGAAGGCCTCACTGGGAATGATGGAGTTTGAGAGGAAACAACTATGGTCAAGAATAACCAAAATACATTGAATCCATGTATGAAGTCAAAGAAAAAAATAAGTACTAAAAAATTTAATGCAAAATGATTTAAAATGGTAACATCATATAAATCATTTTCAGGACTGCGTTTCATAAGGAGCAAGGAATTAAATCATCTCCAATGACAGAAATTCCCAAGAAGTATTTATGCTAGCTATAGTGAAACTTACGTTTCAGAAGTAAAATGGTCGTGCTGTGTACATTATCAAAATATGTCAAGGTACATCTAGTGTTGTAAACAATATTTATGCCAGAACGTCGGAATGAAAACATAATCACAGATTGACCTTTTAGTGGATTTGACTGTTCATTGCATCATTAACGGGTAAACCAACCTGTCAATACCATGCTTCACACCATAAGTGCTTCAGGTGAAGATGGAATTATGGTAAGCACAAATTAAGGCATATATTAGCATTTCAATGCAGCTGAACATGGTTCTGTAAACAGTGACATATCCTTGCTACCATATTTGACAGAGAATCTGAAAATAGATATCAAGATTTCCAGAAATAATGTCACTTTTTTGGTATAATCACAAGTTCGTTTTTCGTCAGCGTACATGTTATCTGCCACTGTTACCTGCTGATTGTCAATTGGAAATGCCTAGAACTGCAATTCTTCATTCAACCTAAGAATATTTTTGATCATGTCCCTTCTCGACACTTATGGGCCTCTTACAGGACCTTCTCTACATTCATGGGCCTCTTACAGGACCTTCTCTACATTCATGGGCCTCTTACAGGACCTTCTCAGATGAGAGCTCACCCTTCACAGTCACACTGGATTCACACCATCAGCTTTTCATAGCACCTACACTTGTGAGCCACAGGTCTCAGTAACTGAGCGTGCAGGCCTGGAGAGATGGCCCCGATGTCTTAATGGTAGGGACTGCTCTTGCTGAGGGCCCAAGTTCAGTTCTGAGCACCCATGTTGAATGTCTCATAACACTTGTAACCTCAGCTCCTCCAGCCTCCAAGGGCGTGTGTACTCACATGCACATGCCCCAACACAAACACAGACACATACACACAATCAATAGTTAAATCCTTGATGCAATTATCCTTTAGATATGACAAAGAAACTATACCTGTGAAATCTCAACAATACGATTGCTCAAACAAGATTTGAACAATGACAACACCAACTGAGCTTCTAAAGTGTTTGGAGAAAAATATCAAGGACTCCATTCCAAGATGAAGAGCAACAGGCAATTATAAAGTGCTGAGAGGAGAAATAGTCTTCCTCAAAGGTGAGTCCCCTAATGGTTATCCAATCCCAGTGGTCAGACCTAAAAAGAAATATGTGCTCCAGCAATAATAAACCAACTCTATCAGCTGGATTAGTATTTTTATCTCCTTGTATGTTTAGAGAAAGAGAGAGAATGCTCACTAAAGATTAAGAGGCCTTGAATCTGAAGGGGATGAAGCAACCTGGGAGGATTTAGAGGGATAATAGCTGATGATATGATTATATTTCAATTTTTCTATTAATTCCAAGTGTTAACCACACTAACAGTAAAATTAGAGTCTACATATCTCACCCCATCTCAGGGATTCACTGAGATTGGAGCTATGTCTATCAAACTAGTTGTGTCCAACAAGTCCAATTGTTTTTCAAAAGCTGTGCCCCATAGCCTACAAAGGTCTTGTTGTCCTCATTCACTGTTTTAGTTTGTTTGGTCTTTCCTTTGTTCTTTTTTCTTTTTCGGAGACTGGGTTTCTCTGTGTAGCCTTGTGTGTCCTGGAACTCACTCTGTAGACCAGGCTGGCCTTGAACTCACAGAGATATGTCTACCTTTGCCTGTCGAATGCTGGGATTAAAAGGGCTGTGCCACCACTGTTCTCCTTACTTTTAGGATGAAAAAATGCTAAAATACATCCTGCTATTTAATTGTGTTCAATTTCTTTATTAGATATTACCACATTGGCGCCTGCTCCATAGTTTTAAAAGATTCCCTCCAGATGGGTACCATACAATTAAGATTATTATATTCTGTAAGCATTTTGTTGCATACTTGTATGTGCAAATATTGTGTCATTTAGATATGGTTCCTTTTCAGGAAGTAAATATCTATTTTCAATAGAGCTTATATAGTAATGTGCAACCCAAAGCCATTATTCCTTCACTGTGGTCCAGAAATGCCAAAAGGTTACGGCATATGGTCTGGATGAGTAATTTAGATCCGATTAATAATATTAGGACAGAAGTTCAGAACTGAGATAAGAAAGCCTCTATGCATAAAAATATGAAAGAAAAAATTCAAAAATATTTGAAAAACATAAATCCGTGGGGGTTAGCAGAATCTGGTTGCTCTGTGATTATCTGGATATGTGTGATTACACACACACACACACACACACACACACACACCTGTTGTCAGAGCAAGGCCAGCCTGCATCACCTCCTACAGTTGATCTCACACAGCTCTAACCGTTTTGTGTTTTAAGCTCAGATCCTCAGCTCATTCTAGTCTATATGAACCTTTTCAAGGGCTGGATCCCTAACTGTTTCACTTCCAGATTCAGTCCACTAAATAAACACTCAAGATTTTACCAAGGTCCTCATTTATCTACATAAAATCCCAGGAAATTTTGTAGAAAGTGCCACTGCAGTCCTCAGCAGGAAAGTCAAGGCCAAACTTATCTTACTAACCTTTAAATTCAATCCCTGCTTAGGGATAGATGCCAATACATAGTAAACAGGTAACTGATACATGTTGCTGTGATTGGTTATTATACTTAATTATGTATGTAAGACATGTTCATTGGCCACAGGGAAAACATTGAAATATCTCTTTGACATCCTAGCAGTTTAGGAGAGACAAACTGAGTTAAGATTAATTCATCAGACTATTTCGACTGCTGGTACCATAGTGTGATCAGAAGTCTGAGAGATCAATGAGATGACATACTGAAAACTTCACTAAATAGTGTACAACTTTGTCTATGTATTTGTAGTGCTCTAACTGTTTCAGGGTTAACTGGTTGTCTGTATTATTTAAAATGGAAAGAAAGAAAGAAACCAAAAGAGATCTTACAGGATGCAAAAGAATATAAGAAGTAAGAAAGTACATTCTTGGGTTCAATGTAAACACTGGACTTCCTGGGTTCTCAGGGCCTCTCAACCACAGTTTCCACACCGTCTGCTCTCTTGGTCTTTATCCCAGCTTAGCTCGTGTCAATGCGGTGATACTGACACTTTTACCCAAACCAGAAAATGTCCTTAAGTACTGTAGCCAATCAGAGCAGAGGTGCACAGGTTTAAAAGGCCTGTGAGATCACTGAGCGCTCACCTCCTTCATCCTTCAAGGGCTGTGTCCACTCTGCCCTCCTCCACCTGAGAGCCTTCCTGGGAAGATGGCAGCAGTCCTGATTCTCCTGACCTTTCTTCTGCCTCTTGGATCTGGTGCAGGTGAGTGAACACCCCGGTTGTAGAGGTGCCATCCCATAATACCTCTGTGGAGTTTCTGCCCACTTCTAGTCAAGAACCTCCTGCACTCAACCAGGAGCTTTCTAAACCTAAGGTCACATTCCATACTCAGACCTGGCTAGATTCTCAACTAGGTCTGGAGAAGTGTCTTAGAAGACATGGTGGGCACTAGTGTAACACCCGAATCTGCTGTTACCTTCTCGGTACGGGTCGAGCCTACCTTATGCGAGTTTGGGCAAAGGCCTGGAGATTGAACAAAGACACAAAAGACCAGGGTCATTCGACAAGAGATCACCGAATGCCACTTTATTCAGCTTAATGCAAAGCTAATATACCCTGGCCCCAGTAAAGGAATTCCCTCCCAGGCAGAGGGGAAACTGGCGCCATAGGGGAACTGGCGCTGTATGGGACCTAGAGCTGTTGGGACTCCTTCCTGGGCAGGGGGTTGGGGGCAGAGAGCAGCGACAGGAAATTATCATACCAAAGATGAACAATGCCCTACAGCTAAATCACCAGGCTATGGCAGAGAGAACACAGGGACAGCAGGAGGCTTTAGCTGGCAGACCAAACTGTCCTTGAGACACACCCCAGGGAGTAAGGGGAGACCAGGCCCTACAACTAGCTTCTCCCTGCTCTTTTTGTCACCTGGAGAGTGGATCATCCTTAAAAAGAGAAGTGGCAGAGAATGCAATAATACTAAAAAGTACATTAACCACCTGAACCCAGACCCAGGGCAGCTTTAACAATCAGCCAGTAATAGGGGTAAGGCCACCAACTCAAGAATATTTAGTAACCTTCACGCTTAGGCTGCTGAAGAAAGAGGCCCAGGGTGACAAGTTGCCAGCATTGCACCCTCCACTACTTTTGCAGTCTGGTGTTGGTTGGCTTCTCCACTTCTTTGTGGTTATCATCTATTCCCATTTTTGCCAGAACACCCTTCTAATGTCTCCCAGGTTCTGGATCCCATGAGTTCTGAACCAGTATTTATAAAGGTAAGTAGTAGCCACTCATCAATGCAGCTAATCATTCACTGAAAATACAAGATATGGTGGGCATCAGAATAAGAGAATTTTAGAAAACCCTCCTCCATAGCTCTTGGGGGTAAACAGTAAGAAAATTATAACAAGGAGTATATTAGAGTTGGGGAGACTCAGTAGCAAAGAAAGGCTGAAGGGAAGCCACCCAGTATCTGCGTGGTTACTGGCATCATGAAGATAGAGATTTTGTCCCTCCATGTATTTGTAAAGTAGGGACTGGAGGGCAAGTGCTACCCACCTCTCCTCAGAACAGGGCACTAAGGCTAAAGATTGAGCAAATATTGTTCAATGTGCAAAGGATTCTGTCTTAAACAGTTTGAGGAACTGCAGATCTCACCCCTTTACCCCTCAAACGTCTTCCCTCCTCATCTCATCTGCTGCTCCCAGACACTCCATAAAGCCTTTTCTTTCAGAGGAGATCATCGGGGGCCATGAGATCAAGCCCCACTCCCACCCCTACATGGCATTTATTGCATCCGTCCACGATAATGAGAACAGGAGTCGCTGTGGAGGCTTCTTGGTAAAAGACAACTTCGTGCTGACAGCTGCTCACTGCAAGGGAAGGTGAGGAGAAGGAGCTAGGTCATGCTTTCTGAGACCCCAACAGGAGTTTCCATCCTCTACTTGTGGCTGCTCCTGTGAGAGCTCACTAGCGGGCAGGCTGTGACAACAGAAGTCTGACAACAGGATAACATTGAGGACAAAGAATGAGAGGTCAGAGGCAGCAGCACACTAGAGCTGAAAACAACTACACTGGTCAGACCAAAGCAGTGGCTGCGGTTGAACGGACACATTAAGAGGCAATGTGAACTTTGGAATATTGCTGAGAGGCAAAAATATTCCCAGTAGTTTAATGTCCTTGTGAAGTAAAGAGGAGCACGTCAAACCCTGAGATGCTCCTGTCTCCTCAAGTCACCTCAGTTAGAGCCCCACCATGCCCACCCAGTCTCTTACAGCTCCTGGACTGTGTCCTCTCTCACCCCTCTCACTCCACATCTCTCATCTGCACTCTGCTCTCTACAACTCAATGAAAGTCACTCTAGGAGCCCACAACATCAAGATCCAGGAGAAGACCCAGCAGATCATTGCTGTGGCTAAAGCCATCCCACACCCAGCCTATAATCCTCAGGATAGCTCCAATGACATCATGCTCTTAAAGGTGAGAACTGTCCCCATAGCTTCCTGTGCTTTGCTTGCTCAGGGATTGCCCCTCCTCTCCTGCTCTCATTCTGTTCCTTCCTTCCCTGCCATCCTGATTCAGAAAGGGGCCCAGGCTCCTGACTGAGCTGCTCTCTCCTGCTTCTTCCCCCACAGCTGGAGAGGAAGGCCAAGATGACTAAAGCTGTGAGGCCTCTCAACTTACCTAG